ACTCGTCTCGCAACGAAATCACTTATTTCTCGACTTTTTAATTAGAATTTGAATATGGAAATATTTCTAAACATTATAAAGTCTTCATATTGTATACATCCGGTGAGCCAGGTACGAATGTTAGTTTGTTATTTTGATATCTTCGACGTGAGCAGAACGCAAAAATCGTCTCTGTTCCCTTGACACTGAGTCGAAAAGCATCTGAAAGTCAATTTTCTTGGCGGCAAATAATATATTGGTATTGTTTGGACGTTCCGTGTTCCATCACTGTCAATTAGTCGCAGTGAAGAGACGTCATCAATCATAAACATTCTCTACAGAGCTCTAGAGCATCCATCGTGAGGGTCTATTGTTTAGATTTCAGATTTACCGAAATTTCATCTCCCTGTAGATATCTGTCCGAGTGCAGGCTATCGCCTTCGTACAATTGTTATACTTTATTTAAAGTATAACAATTGTGCGAAGGTACTATATTTTAGTATATTTTGGTATTCCTTTTTAGTTTCAATCTTTATATATAAAATTTTTATACCTGTCACATTGTTTGTCCGCGATGAACTCCAAAACTACTGAAATGATTTCATCAGAATCTTACGAGTGGGTGCTTGTCTAAATTCTTTTTATTTAAAATGTATTTTGTTTCTTTCTAAATTGAAAATAGCTTAAAGCGAAGGAAATCCATCTACTTCCATACAATATTTCTTTGTCTCATAAATACATTTCTTTACAATAATACGTAATGTCGAAGCTTATTGTACTGAGGTTTATTACTTATTCACGCACTTGAATTTCATAATTGTTTCAAAAGTCAGTATTGTTTTTAAAGAGTCGAAAAATTAAACACTATTTGATTAAAAATTAAGTGTTTTCCAAGTTTTGCTTATTGGTCAGACTGTTTTTGAGGTAAAATAAATAAAATTATAATAAGGTCAATGCGGAGACGAAGTTTTTATTCATACAAATATAGTAGATTGATGAAGGTAATAAAAAATATTGTTTTTATTACCTTCATCAATCTACTTTATCGCGATGAGTAGACTCATCGACTTTGTACGTTATTTGATTTTAGCCCAGTCATGTCTATTTACCGAAATATTGTCCGACTTATTTGCAATGCACACTTTTATTGCTTCGAAGACATCTGTGTTGGTTTTAAAATTCACGTTGTAACTGCGAAATTATTCAAAGTGTCAGGTGCTACAACCCGAGCCGCATTGAGTACTAAAAATTTACATGCACATGCCTCCTAATTTTTAAATGGGTAAAACGCCACAGACTAGAAACATCACGTAATAAACTTCGAACGTCACTAACGACGAGTTATGCTTCAGCCTTATTTTTTTCTTCTATGTCACAGAGCGTTCTCGCGGTATTTTCGATGTCGTGCGTGAACAGTGCGGGGGAAAGAGAGAACAATAGCTGTCACATAAATACATGTGATTGATTGACCCGCACCCGTCTAATGCTTATAGGAAGCAATAAACAGCTGGCGATTCTGTTGAGAACTGAGTGTGTGCTTTAAAATATGCAGTTTGGCTAATGTATCCTGTCGATCACGATAGCTGTTTCAAAATGGTTATAGTGCCCCATTTTCTGCAGACTTGTGATGACTTGACTAGGTATATTTGGTTCTTTGAGTTTGTTTCAACGATTCGAATGTTTAAAGTTAACGATAATTTTGGTTGTTTATACTTACTGTCTTTGTTCAGGTTTTTTACAGTATTGTTTTATTATTAAATGTTAGCTTATAGAACCTCACTAGAATCTGATGAAAGTATTGTTATAAATTTTCTTTTGTATTAGTGACAACAAAACAAATATGTAAAATAAACTTTCCCTGTATTTTTATCAAAAAGGAAATGTATAATGATGCTCTAAATCCGTCCACCGTCCCTTGTCCGATGGATGAAAGGATATGTCGTTTTGTAGCTCACCGGTTTTCCTGTCATCGCCATCAAATAATCTCAGTAGACTTTCATCTACTGGCTTTGACATGTGTAAGCCCTTCGTAAACATTAAGAAGATATTCCGATTGGTTACTGTATCCTATATAGCTCATTGGTGTCAGGTGAGTCAGCTATGCGGAGTAGCTCCGCTTTGTCGGGGCTGTCATCGGAACGATCGCCCGTCATTGCATGTCCACCTCGCGCATAGCACGCACGCTTGCATTACGCAGCGCACCACCCCTCGAAAGTGTACATGACTAGTTGTCTCTCTCCTTCGCTCTGATTCGCCCGTTTCAGTCGCAGCTGTCTCTGTTCCGCGGAGGGCGTGCGGGGAGAGGGCGCTGCAGGCGGGTCGTAAATCACGCGGCATCTCATTCCACGCGGGACCGCCGCCGTTACCGCATGTTCCGCACTCCCCGTTCGACCGGCATCGCGGCGCGTCTTTCGCGTCGTGTTTACTTCCAGTCGCTCTTGGGAAGTCAATTGTTCTCTTGTAATACAGTGTATAGAATTGTTAAAGTGTTGTTACATGGATCCGAGATACATCAGAGTAAAGCAGTTTGGAGTATATTGAAAAAATTTCGTCCAAAATGATCGTCGAGCCCGACCATGTGAGGTAGGTTCTAGTGTTGGTTCATTAATTCCGTTGTTTTGGTTTTTTTACTTGTTATTGGTTTTTTGTATTAGGATACCCCAAATATATTTTTGTGTTCGATGTGAATTTTGCCCGCAAAGTACAATACAAGATTGCAGTGTCTTGAATTGAAACTTTATTTTCGTTTTAATTTTTATTAAATCTGATTGTCTATTTCGATTTTGTGTTATATTTTAAATAATTTTAATTAATTGAAATTAAACATGTCTTAATACATAAAGTTTTCAGAAAGTTACGAATAGTTTGGTATCAAATTTATAACCATTTATTAAACTGATTTTAAACTTTCTAAAGTGGTTTACTGAATATTATTAATATACTGAATTAAATCAAGGTTTATTTTTTTATAACAAATTATTGACATTTAGTAGTCTAAGAAACAGTTAACAGCTAACTTTTTTTAAACACTACAAGTAAGCCGTGAATAAGTTTCTCTGGTAAGAAACACACGAATTTAATTTAAATTTGTGGGTACAATGTTTGTAAATGTTTTAAGATGCTACTGTGCTTTTACGAAACATATTTGTTCGATCACTTCTAAGAACTTTGAAGATCTTAAGTGAGTTAGGTGGTCCTCAATGGTTAATATTTCTTATCGTGAATTCCTCCACTAGCTCGTTCTTTAGTAAAACGCTTCTTTAATAAAATGTTTTATTCGGAATCATAATTAATTATGCTCAAGTCGCTAACACATATGTTATCAATGTTTATGTGAATCAGTCCGTATTATAAATTCTATGGAGCAAATGATTTGAAAGTATAATTACCTACTACGCTGCTGGTTGTTGTTGTTTTATTATTTGATTATTTAAGAAAATTTTCGTCGATTTCGTAAACTGTGGATTTATTCATACTTGATAAGATCATGATGTAGTAACTAGTAAGATTCAATTATAATTGTTGATAATTGATAATTAATAGATAACATAGCTTTGATATCATAATTGTAAGTTAAGTTGCGTGATAATTGTTTACACTTTGAATAAATGAAAATAATATAATATACCAAGTCAATTTTAACTCTTTAACTAAAAACTCGAGTAACATTTATTTGGTGCATCAGTTTTAGAGATTTCGGCTTTATTTTCCGAAACGTATGTTAAAAATATTGTTTCTAAACTATGGTACTGGTGGAACCATAACTTTTGAATTATGATAAAGACAGACGATTTTTTTTGAAGTAACATATATCATTCGGGATTTTTCTTGATTGAATGTAAAAAAATTCACCGGGTAACAGGATTAACCATTTCATTGTTCCGTGAGTCATATATTATGAACATTTCAATTGTGTTTTTTTTTTCGCGAACGGGGAAGTTGTTTAGAAATTTAGTGATATTGATACTAATAATAATTTTATTATTGTCCACAGGGAAAGCCCGAGATGTCTGTCGCGGGAGTCGTCGGGTGCGCCGCGATGTCCCTCCAACGACTCCGTGTACTCCGGAAGGAGTGCGCCAGGGCTGCCCCTCCCCGCGGCACTGACAGCAGCCCTGCCAGCTGCCCTCCCGGCCGCGTTACTGCCGCCACACTCTGCCGCAATGGCGGCGTACTTGGGCGCGGCGGCCGCGGCCGCGCAGCAGCGACTCCTCATGTCCTGCCAGGAAGACCTCATCGACTCGGAGCGCTCTGACGCCGTCCTCGACTTCAGCACGAAACGCAGTGAGTCCCCGCAGGACGACGATGATGATGACGACGCCGTCAACCTCAGCAAAACGCTCGAGAACGGCCCTCTTGATCTCTCCGTTGGGACCAGGAAACGGGGGCCCGAGGATTCCCCGTCCCCAGTTCCCACGAGGAAAAGTTCCCGAACGGCTGAGTTTAAGCCTACACCGTCACCCTGGTCAACGCCGGTAGCGCCGCATTTACCGTACTTCGCTGCAGCGGTCGCTGCAGCTAGCTTATCTCCGAAAGGCGGCATACCTGCTGACTGGAACGGGAAGTTAAAACACGGGGCGCCCACGCCAAGCGACGCGACGAAAGCGTTAGAAAAGATGAGTGAACTGAGTAGGTTAGGCGGTGAAGAACTGTTCAGGTCTGTCCAAAACGCAGCTTTGGGCGCTGGATTGACGCCGAACGCAGCCGCTCGTCACTCCGCCTGGCAGTCACACTGGCTCAACAAAGGCGCCGATCAGACTAAGGACGTCCTCAAATGCGTTTGGTGTAAGAAGAGCTTTAATTCCCTCGCGGATCTTACTGTACACATGAAGGAGGCGAAACATTGCGGTGTAAATGTGCCTGTCCCGCCATCGACGGGAGCACCTTTACCGCCATCGCTGCAGCCGCCTTCGAGTTCACCGTCTACACCATCACACAATTCGACATCTTCCAGTGGCTCCTCGAAGCCGAATCACAGCGATCTAAATATGCTCATTAAAGAAAATATGCCAATACCTAGAAAGTTAGTTCGCGGGCAGGACGTATGGTTAGGTAAGGGAGCCGAACAAACTAGACAAATTTTGAAATGTATGTGGTGCGCGGAAAGTTTTCGATCTCTAGCCGAAATGACGAGTCACATGCAGCGTACGCAGCATTATACAAATATCATATCTCAGGAGCAGATTATCTCATGGAAATCATCCGACGACGGTAAAGGCTCCAACTCGAACGCCCCGGGTTCCAATAACGCTGTTCCGCCGACCACGGGCACTAGTAGTCACGTTAGTGCCGTATTAACTTGTAAGGTTTGCGATCAAGCGTTCAGTTCTTTAAAGGAACTTAGCAATCATATGGTTAAAAATTCGCATTATAAAGAACATATTATGAGATCTATTACTGAAAGCGGTGGTAGGAGACGACAAACACGTGAAAAGAGAAAGAAGTCATTACCGGTTAGAAAACTGTTGGAGCTCGAAAGAGCGCAACATGAGTTTAAGAATGGAGAAGGCAACGGAGTTCCGATGGGCAAACCTATCAGGGACTTCAGCGCGGGTAGTAGGATTACTTGTGAAAAATGCGGTGATAAAATCGAGACGGCAGTATTCGTCGAGCATATTAGGCAGTGTATCGGTGGTCCTATGTCGAATAGCCAAAGGAATTTCCTTAAAAGCGCGCTTCTCTCTAACAATATCATACCACCTGATGTTCCCGGTCACATCACACCAACAAGCCGCGATGGTCGTAAAAGCATTAACGAGGAACTGCCCTCTCCCGGTTCCGCTCACCATCGTTCCCCATCTTCGGTGAACGATTCATCTCCAAGTTCCAAAGACGCGAACGCGAGCAACGACAAAAGCTCGTCGCCATCTGTATTAAACGCCATAGAACAATTGATCGAGAAGAGTTTCGATACTCGTTCACGGCATTCCGTTCCTGGTATGCCGGGTGCCCCATCTCACGCTCCCATCGGTTCTAGTATCCTTAAAAGATTAGGCATAGACGAGAGTGTAGACTATACCAAGCCATTAGTAGACCCACAAACGATGAGTATGTTAAGAAGTTATCATCATCAGCAAGGGTACGGACGTCGCGAGCGCAGTGGCAGCGAGTCAAGCTCGATGTCGGAAAGGGGCGGTAGTAGAGTCGAATCTCTCACTCCCGATAGGAAATTAGATGCGTATCACATGACGCCTCGCACGACGCCAGACACGCGAGGTTCACAAACTCCCGCGTCCGAAGATCGTCCCACTGAAGTTAGGATAAAGAAGGAAGTAACGGATGAGGACGAACGCGAGAACGGTGTCGATTTGAGCAATCAAACGGTTCGCGTTAAAACCGAAGTGGAGGAGGAAGAAGAGCCGGCTAGGCCGAACAGTGCGACGGAAGAGGACGTAAAACCGACGATCCCAAAGCGCGAAAGCGAAGGCCCTAGTCCAGCAGCTAGTCCTCGAAGTCCATCAAGTGATCGGTCCGGACCCACTCCGGGTTCAGACAGAAAGCCGGCTTCCAGTTTAGGCGCGCTTTCGTCTATGTTCGATAATTTAGCTGGAGGTGGATCTAATGAGCCCAGTTCTTCTCGCCGCGGTGGGAGTCATCCTCTCGCGGCTTTACAGAAGTTGTGTGATAAAACGGAGAGCAATCCTTCGCGAGCCCCGCCCCCGGCGCCATCGCCCGCTGGCCCTCCGAGCATCTTGACATTTAGTTGGGCGTGTAACGATGCCGTCGTCACAGATTCAATTATGAAGTGTGCTCTCTGCGACACTCCATTTATATCAAAGGGCGCTTATCGACACCATCTTTCTAAAATGCATTTCGTAAAAGACGGCGCTCTACCAGAGCCAGTCCCCGTGAAGGCTCCACAAGCGGCTGGTTCGCCTGGCACCCACAAGGGTGGTGGCTCGAATGCTGCTTCACCCCAAGACCCTCGAAGTCCCTCCCAGTCCTTCGAAGAGAGTCCCCACTCCAAGTTCCTCAAGTACACGGAACTCGCGAAACAGCTATCCAGCAAATACGTGTAGATAGGGTCGAATCGGCCATCAGTTGTGATGATATCATATCCCGCTACGTTGAACCTAGGTACCTAGGTTTTAGTCGCTGCGGCGACGCTAAGTATTTCGAAACTCTTTGCCAATTTAATTATTTTAGGTAATCGTTAGAGTTCACCGCATAGTTCGGTTAGTGTAATTATTAATAGCAACATAAGTATACGCCAAACGTCTTACGTTCGTTTAGATATAAGAGAATATTTTCAAAATATTGCCTTTAGGTGAATTGGGTCGGTTGTCTTGCGACGCGCGGTCCTCGCCGGCCGCGGCTTATCTTCCACACTACGTTGTAATTCCATTTTCCAATTGTATATATAAGTCGCATTAAGTCTTAAAAGTTCAATTCGATCTCTTTGTAAATGTATATTTTTTTCTAATGACCAGAGGAGTGAGGTTACTTTCGCGATCCGGTATCGCTATTTGGATCGACTTCGCGCGATGAATGCGTTTAGACGTCGCAACGTTGACCTTCAGTATTCGATAATAAAACTGTTGCAATATCATTTTCTTTCGCGTTACTTAATTTTTCTATGTAAATCGGAGTTAGGCTTAACGTCCTTAGTTATTCTATGTATATTTTGAAGGTGTCGTGAGGTGGAACGGCGGCCGATGCCCGCAATCTCGGAGATTCAATCTCAGTCGGCAGTACGTTGTACATACGTGATTCGTCATTGAATGCAATATAACAGTTTTCTTAGTGTAAATTTCGCTCTAGATCCATACGCTCTCCCCGCGAGATTGCTATTTATTATTTAGTGATAAGTGCGTAATTAGGTGACCTTACTGTGAACACTTGTATACCATTGTACCAGCGTTATTAGGTTGTCCAAACCAAGCTATATATTAAAAAAGTGATAATACGTTATACAAATTTCATTTCTTTAAAGGACGACTACATTCGTATACGGTTAGACTTTCGATTGTATTGAGAGAAAAGCTTCCAATTTTAACAACAAGATATACGAGTTGTATATACGGTACTTGCGAGTGAAAAACTCTTTTATATTTAATAAAAATATTGTAAACTGTCTAAAATAAGTTTCAGAAGATATCAATCGATTCATTTTGCGATTTGCGAATTCGTAATGTAACTGTTAATCACGTTAGTGTACAATTTGTTTTTATTTTATTAAATTTGTTCGTAGGCTCTATGACCGTTTCCTTTTCGTTTGTTTTTTTTTAATCAGATATATCTGTACTTATATTTGTTTTGACAGTTATCTTACGAATACGCATCACAAGTGTGATGTTTAAAATCGATAAACTATCATTTTAACGATAATTAATGAAACATACGACAAATATTATGTATACGCTAGCTCTGATGAGAGATTTTTGCTCATTCATTAAACGAAAAAAAAAATGGTGTTGAAATATTGATTTTACCAAATTAAATAATCTTATTTAATATTTTATGTTGTATTTCAAAATGCAATTAAAAGCTCAAAGAAATATATATGTTAAATACTTTAATTATGTTTATTTCATTTATTTTTACCCAGTACGTACTGAACACGAACCTCACACTACACCCCACACTGTATAAAATGTTCAAATTTGCTTATAAGGAACAACATAAATGAATAACTTACAGAGAAGCCCACTTCCAAGTTATTTAAAAAAATAATACTAATAAAGCCATTAACATTAGTAAGAGGTATATTTGGTGGACAGTAGTCGAATAGCGAAATCGAACCACCATTAGTAAAATAGCGCCCTATACTCACATAGCGCGAAATGGTTTCCTTAATTGTTTTATTAGAAGTACATATTTAAATTAAAGTAAAGCTATATTCTATGTACGTCCCACTGCTGAGCACAGGCCTTCTCTCACTTCTGAGAGAATTTTAGGTATCCGCCGCGCAGCCCCAATGCGTGTCGGCGGGCTACACATGTCTGAGAAATAAAAAAAAATCGAAGACTTGCATGCAGGTTTTCTCACGATGGTTTCTATTGATGCCGAGCACGTGGTAAATCATCAATTAAAGGCGATGATCAAACCCGGGTTGCTCGCGTACTGTCAAATTTCCACATATTAAATATAATTCCACTGGTGTAATTTCCTTTAATTTTACAAAGCATTACGCCTGCAAACCCCTAGGGACAGAGGCCAAATAGCCGCCAGCTGCTCGATCCACGCTTAGCTCAAAAAATATGGGTTAAGATGGAAAATTATGAAAGAATGGATGATGGGTGATGAAATGATGGGTGTTTAGTCCAACGCCTAGACAATCAAAAACCGAATATCCCATTAGTCACCTTTTACGACTATGCTAGGCAAGTTAAACAGTAACTGGCACATTATTTTCTGTTATAAGTCCCACATTAACATGGGATCATGGGATATCCTACACCAAAATTTATATTTAAATAGAGATCCGCCCCGATTTTGCACAGGTGATATCTGGATCTTGACAAAAGCGCCACCTACCGGCTCCAAATGTAAATCTAAACCATCCAGGGACCCACTCAAAGGCACAAAAAATTTCATCAAAATCAGTTGAGCCATTTTTGAGTTTTAGCGAGACTAACGGACAGCAATATATATATATATATATATATATATATATATATATATATATATATGAGAGAGAGATAAAGTGGACAATTTTTTTAAATGTGTTCATATAAATGTGTGAGTAGAATTTGGCGTATGGTGGCCCTAGTCAAGTTTATCAAGTTGTTCCTATAAGAGGCGACTATGGGAAATGCTGGACAAATCCATGGTGTCTGCCAAGCGAGGCGGTTATGCCAAAACCTCCATTAAACTTAGAGTCCCATGTTCAGTAGTCGAATTTTACAGGCTGACGAAAAAGAAAATGTAGGCAGAAATTACAAACATTTTATGGATATAGTGACGTATCAATTTTCATCGCCCTTGGCACAAACCTTGCGGGCCTAATCTAAAATCTGCTGCTGGATTGAACTGAAATGACATATTTTATGGTAACAAAACAGATTTTACAATTACATATGTATGTACAATACTTACATAATAAACTTACACCTGTCACTCAGAGAGGTAGACTACGAAACAGCGTACAAAAGTCCACTGCTGAACATAGGTCTCCCAATAGATTGCTTCATTGGGAGGATTTTGCTACATTTGCCACGTTTGACAGGCTAGCAATAACTTTAATTATTTTGAGTTGTTATCAGAAATATGTCCATCTCTTGCTTCAGTTTCCTCTCTGTCGCGTCTTACGACACCCACGGGACGATATGGCGCAGTGGATATTCTTACTCGATTATTGCAGACTGTAGACTTCCAATTAACTCTGGAACTCTTTTTACGTGGTAGAGCCATGCTGCAGCTATATTAGTAGTATAGTTGTAGCACGAATCGGTCGGCTCGACCGGGGAAGGACCACGCTCTCACAGGATACCAGCGTAAAATAGCAGCTTAAAACTGCTGTGTTTCGTATGGTGAGTGTAGAGAACCGGAGACCCTTTTTACTGGAAAAGAGGCATTCCATCTTAGTCCTCAAGGGGGACAACGCATCTGCATTTTGATTCGCAAGCGGGGACAGATGTAGATGTCTATGGGCCACAGCAACCACTTACCATCAGGTGGACTGTGTGCTCGTTTGTCACCCTATCCTATAAAAAAAACTCGATCCTGACACCTCTCTCTCGCCTCTTTCTCATCCATATACGTATACATGCTCGTCGGTTATGGGTCCTCTTAATTTTGCCATCAATGTGTACCAGTCACGATAATAACTGCATTAGTTATATAAAGCTGTATAATAATGTCTCCAGCTGGAGCTGTATAATAAAATCACCTTCCACAGTAAAAAGGTGTTAGAAAATAAAAGAAAATTTAATCACAACTTATATAAATTGGATCTATGTAAATCACCCTTATTCATAACAAAATAATCACACCAAAAGAATACGAGTGCTGTGCTGTACGTAAGAGAATACACTACTCCATTTTACACCGTGGGTAATCGTAAGAGGCGACCAAGAGCAATGTCAGAAAAATCTAATGGCTTTGGATAGATGACGATATCAACACTAAGGTAGCAGTAGTAAGTAGGGTATAATTGGAGGCTGTGAAAGTGTTGGCGACGAAGTGATGCAGAAACCAGAATTCTACCTATTACCCGATCCATTACTCGATATAGAGGCTCTAACGGCGGAAACCTATAATATTTTTCACTGAGCGATGCTCTAGTTTTTAATCTGACAGACAGACCGGTCCAAATTTATAGCCCTGAATGCCATTAAAATATCAGTGCCAAGTATCACGTATCAAATAATAAATATCACATCAACTTAAGCGTTGAGGATATGTCACAACAATTATCACATGCCACGTACCACGTATCAAGTATAGACATTTCCCATAATGCGAAGGTTTTTCTTTTATTTTTTTATACGATATCACAATCAATACTGGTAACTGCCGTGTATTAGCTGTCTGTCTGATCAAGTGTATCATCGCTCAGTAAACAATATTATACGATTCTGCAGTTCGAGCCGTCATATCAGGTAGAATTGGGGCTTCTGCAGCACAAACCGAGCTCAACGAGGTGAAGTGATGCGGAACCCCCTATTCTACCCTACTGTAGTAGACGTCAATCCGCCTACCAAGTTTTACGATAAAGTCATCCTCTCTACAACGTGAGTGATGTATATCCGGCAGTAGCTTGTACGAACAACTGCAACACGAGGGTCATTACTGATGAAGAAGAAGCAACGATTAAATAGTTCCCTGACAGTAACTGCTGCTCATTTATAATTGCAACCGACTTTGAACAGATATCCAGACCGAATTTCGGTCTTTTTAATCCTTAGACCAAATCTCTAAAATATTAAGATATATACACTTTATAAAAGGGATCATTTAAATATTAACAGAATACATGGTTGATAATAACTCCTTGGCAAAGATTCGATTTGATTTGTACTACTATTTAGAAAAGAGATAACCCCCTGAGTTTCCTCCTGGTTACAATCAGGACAGAATTTTTCCAAACTATTGCCAGTAGGTAGTAGATCAAAAAAACATTATAGATCAACAACACAAGAGTTTTCATTTCATTTCACAAAGAAATTTCATTTAATTTCAATTCATAAATGATTGTCAATAAGATGTATTTACTGTCGTGAGGTTGAGGCGTAAGGAAATCCACCTCACTCATTTCGATCCATGGCAAGAGGCAACTATGGGATACCTTAAAAATAAATTTTATGGCTTCCGTACACTGCGGTATAAACATTTCATTTACGCCACATGTGAAATACGCAGACCAGCAACGAAGATGCGAAATATCAATCCGCTAATACGCCTGCTTACCACAACGATTAAGGCTTATTCTGGCTCCTTCTTTTGAAATCTGATAGATGAGAGAATTCTTCTGCCACGTGGTGGGTTCGTAAAACAGTCTATTTATATATTTTTCTTTTTTTTTTAATAAAACTACTAATGTTCCCTGTAACCACTTCTGGTAAGCTTAAATGCTTGTGTTAGGAGTGATTCACAATAGTTGAATGGCGGATTCAAACCCACGACCTTTGAAGTTCGCGGTTACCTTACTTTGTCTATCACCCATTTAGTCCCTTGGGTGTCGTAAGTGAGGACTATGGAAAATTGAGAAATGCCACATATTTAACATCGCGAGGAAATCTGCATTTCAAATCAATCTCCCACGAAATATGTACATTTTTTATCATTTATCGATTTTTTCTAAGTTCTCAGCTATGTATAATTAAAGTAAAGAATATATTCTTTACAAAAAGCTACAATTTATTTCTAAACTCTTTAAATTAAAATAAAAAAAATCACGTTGCTATGCTATTTTGAAAATTTAATTGATTAATAAGTATAAGAGGTTGATAGCAAAGGAGACAATCGTTTATGGGCCCACTAGAAACTGTAACGTAACCTAATTTTATTACACATAAAAAGATACAAATTTATTATAGTAAAGGGCCTAAAGATTTTATGAAAATGAATAAAAAAAAATTCCATCAACCTTAAAGCACCTATAAGTGCTGAATGTACCTACCTACAACTTTCTTTTATACTGTTAATTATTGACAAGTGCACTATTTTAATTTATAATACCGGTGAAAACTACTAGACAATCGCTTTTAGCTTGTTTTTAGTTTATTGTGATATTCATATTTTAATTTTTAATTTCTCAGTGTTCCCGTTAGATACGGTACTATTTGTAATCTATTGGTTATAAGGAATAAATCGACATGTGTTACGCCGTGTTACGGTGGTGGGCCCATTCTTAATACAAAAAGAAATTGTCTGTTTTAGCGCAGACTTTTTTCGAGATTTCTTCATCTCAATCTTTCTTCAGATCTATATTATTGTAGTGTTGTATTTACGTATC